TCAGCCGCTGGTCAGTTTCAGCAGCGGCTGAATCTGGACGCCAGTTCCGACTTACATACAGATTCAACTTAAGAACAAACCTACAGTCCCTATCTTGCACGTAACCCGGGGACTGCCTGTAATGGGAAAAGTGTCTCTTTCCCCAGCCCTACCCCTCTACTGGCAATCTAATTCTGCAGAGCTAAAACTGAAATAAGCTACGCAACTGGAGCTGCGTCCAGCAGCGGCTGAATCTGGACGCCAGTTCCGACTTACATACAGATTCAACTTAAGAACAAACCTACAGTCCCTATCTTGCACGTAACCCGGGGACTGCCTGTAATGGGAAAAGTGTCTCTTTCCCCAGCCCTACCCCTCTACTGGCAATCTAATTCTGCAGAGCTAAAACTGAAATAAGCTACGCAACTGGAGCTGCGTCAGTTGTGTAGCTTAAATTGAAATAGCTTGTTTTGGCTTTTGGCGCTGTCTGCACAGCAGGAAGTCTGAGGTAGAGCACTCTTCCTCTGATTTCCCTTTTTTCTCTTAAAAAGTGGGTTACAGCAGTCAGGGTAAGAAGTCCTCCAGATCGACATTATGGTGGAAAAAACTGCTAATAGTGTAGACACAGACTATGTTATTTAGGAATAACATCCGTTAGTCCGAAATAACACTGCTGAGTAGACGTACCCTCAGAGAAATACATATTCACATAGCTCTCTTTTAATAAATTCAGTCAGTTGATTTGCTCCAAAGGCTTCAGGGTGAACATGGCATATGTTTATGAAACAAGCGCTCCCTTCGTGTTTACAAACTGCAGTGCTTGAGGGTGTAACACAGATACTCCTTTTCTTTCAGCTGCCTTTGAACAGCAGGGATGGCAGTTACAAGTTACTGGTGAAAGGCCATGCCAATGACCGGCTGTTATTCTCTAACAGCACCAGCCTGTTATTTGAGCACAAGAGTATCTCTGTCTTCATCCAGACTGACAAGTCTCTGTATAAACCAGGCCAAGAAGTGAAGTTTCGGATTGTCACTGTTGATCCTGATCTCAAACCCTTCAAAATTTCTCTAAGCATATACATCCGGGTGAGTATACATTGGAAATCGAGCAATATACTGAAATCAGCCTGAATTTTTGAATTTTCAGTCAAGTCTTGCTCCTGAATATGCTCACATTTAACATGCTTTTAACATGGTTTTACTTTAGGACCCTCGAGGGAATTTGATACAACAATGGTTGGCAGAAAAAGGTGATTTGGGTGTGCTTTCCAGAAAATTTCAATTATCAACAAGTCCTGTACTTGGAGACTGGTCCATACAAGTGCAAGTCAATGTGAGTATTAATACTGTTGAATGCATAGAAGGTTCCTCTTGCAACACTGAAATTTTCCATTGTTTGAGAATGAAATACAAGTTTGCAATGATGAGACAAAACAGAAACAAGTATAAGTCCTGATACTGCAGTAGGGCTGAGGCCTCTTGACGCCAGTGTAGGTCTACCTGTACAGAGCTCATTGCAGTACTGAGGCTATAGGCTGGAAGAGCTAACCAAACCTAGGTAAAGGTTTTAATAGTATATGGTTTCTTCTTGACTTTATTAATTAGGAATTGTCTTATGACCTGAAGCAAGAGAGTACATTTTCCTTTCCAAAACTCTTTGGACCAGATTCTGACCCCTTCCTCCCTTATACTAAGTAGAACCTTGCTCCATAAAGTGCTCTTATTTATTTCAGTGGCATCACTCAGGGTATGTCTACACTACAAAGTTAATTTGAACTAACAGACGTTAGTTCGAATTAACTTTGATAGGCGCTACACATACAAACCGCTAGTTTGAACTTAATTCGAACTAGCGGAGCGCTTAATTCGAACTAGGTAAACCTCATTCTACAAGGACTAATGCCTAGTTCGAATTAAGTAGTTGGAATTAAGGGCTGTGTAGCCACTTAATTCGAACTAGTGGGAGGCTAGCCCTCCCCAGGTTCCCCCAGGTCGCCACTCTGGACCAAACCTCCTTCCCCTTGCTTCCCCCTTCCAGCTCCCTCCTCCCAGTTTTCCCCATCCCCACTCCCACCCTCTCTCCTGCCCTCTCCCGCTTCCTTTCCCCCATCTCCCCACAGTTTCATTCCCCCTCCCCAGTTGTGTTCAATAAACAGAGTTGTTATTTTTGAAAATACGTGTCTTTTACTTGACATGAGGAAGGGGGGTTAGGGAAGTGGAAGGAGGAGAGGGAGGAATGGGGCATGAGCTCCCGGTGGGGCAGACCGGGGAGACTGTTAGCGCTCCTCAGGGTGGAAGCTCTCCCACAGGGCCCCCTGGATCCTGACATCCGCTCGATGGTCCTCCCGGATGGCAGCCTGCAGACAGTGCAGCCAGGCTGCCAGCAACATGTCCATGAGACATAGCAGAGTCCAATGGGACAGGTCTGGTTCCATGTTGCAGAGTGCCGTGGTGTCCTGAGTGAAGGCAAGCAGAGCACTCCGAGACACAAATGCTTTGCTGTCCCTCAGCAAGGGACAGATATATGATCAATTACAATACAGTTTTATATTACGCAAGCAGACCAGCAAGCAGAGAAACCTGAGAACTTTCTGTCCGAGATGGGGGGGTCGGGTCCCTTTAAACACAGCCCTTGGCTAGCCTGAGGCAGCAAACGCCCAAGCTCTTCCTATACTGTCCCTAATGACCGGCTGAAGTTCTTTTAAAATTGTGCCTGGTTCTGTTACAGCAACTGAAGGAGTCAGGTTAAAACTTAAACATTTACAGGTTTATTGAGGAAGCTTATAAATCATATGGTTGCAATGGCTATTGTTCTATTTCTTAACTGCTGACAAATATATATATATATAAAAATGGTTACAAAGAAGATAAAGATAGAAATTAGAAAATAATGGTACCAAATGACAGCTTAATCTTTAAAGAGCTCTATTCTATGCATGCACTATAACAAAAAGGACACATACAGGTACAATTTTTACCCCCTTCTGCGTCACTCGGTCCCAGTGTGTCAGGCCAGGATCGGTCCCTCAATTCCTCAGAAAGACGAAAATACGAGGTGGGCGTCCCTGTGGAACCTCGGGAGGTCAAACACCTAACCCGACCAGCAGGTAGAGGGCAGATTGACACTCAAAAGAGAGTGTGCTGCTGTACCACTTTATATACCCGTTGGGTCACGTATTTTCTCTTTCTTATCTGTAATGCCAAATGGTGCTGGTCTGTCTTTTGTGAGACCAGCTCTTACAAGGGAGTTGTGAACTTAATTTACACTTGTAAGAGAGAGTTGAGAGGATTAAATTGGAAGTACTGGACATTCTTTTTCTCAGTGGGAAATTCCTTTCCCAGGGACTGTGTGTGTTCGAATCAACATGGGTGCCAGCTGGCACTTCTTGCAGCCTTGAGCTCAGTTTATTTCCTTAATCGTTACTCAGAGTCAGAGAAACTCGCATATCCTGGTCTCGCATCAAAGCAGATCAAAGCTTAATGGCTATGCTGATTTTCCTATTGTTCCTTCTCTGCCCTGTATACAGACATCTCAGAGGGCAAGCAAGATTGAGATTGGGGGGCTGTCTGGCTACAGACCCCTGACCCTGAGCCCTGAGCTTACAATGGCTGTATTGGGTCAGACCAAAGGTCCATCTAGCCCAGTAGCCTGTCTGCCGACAGCAGCCAACACGAGGTACCCTGGAGGGGATGGACTGAAGACAATGACCAAGCCATTTGTCTCATGCCATCCATCTCCAGCCTTCCACAAACAGAGGCCAGGGACACCATTCCTACCCCCTGGCTAATACCACTCTATGGACCCATCCTCTATGACTTTATCTCACTTCTCTTTAAACTCTGTTCTAGTTCTAGCCTTCACAGCCTCCTCCAGCAAGGAGTTCCACAGGTTGACTATTTACTTTGTGAAGAAGAACTTTCTGTTGTTAGTTTGAAGACTGGTACCCATTCATTTCATTTGGTGTCCTCTAGTCCTCCTATTATGGGAACTAATGAAGAACTTTTCTTTATGCACCCTCTCCACACCACTCGTGCCTTTATAGACTTCTATCATATCCCCCCTCAGTCTCCTCTTTTCTAAGCTGAGAAGTCCCAGTCTCTAGCCTCTCTTCATATGGGACCTGTTCCAAACCCCTGATCATTTTAGTTGCCCTCCCCTCTCCCACCCTCTCTCTTCCCCTCTCCCACCTTCTTTTCCCAGTCTCCCCGAGTTTTGTTCAATAAAGTTTTGTTCTATTTTTGAACACACGTGTCCTTTATTTTGTACATCAGGAAGGGGGGCTAGGGAGGGGTAAGTGGAAGTAGGTGAGGGAGGAATGGGGTACGAGCCCCAGATGGGGTGGACTGGGGTGGCTCTTTGGGCTCCTCGGGGTGGAAGCTCTCCTGAAGCCCCTCGATTGACCCCCCCTCCGGATGACAGCCTGTGGCAAGTGCAGCCGGGCTGACGGCCGAGTGCTGTGATGTGCCAAGTGTGGGTACTCAGGGCACTCCAAGCCAGGACTGCTTTGCAAGTGGGGAACCCCTGAGAACTGTCTGTCCGGGGTGGGGGTCGGGTCCCTTTAAGCACAGCCCTGGGCTAGCCTGAGACAGCAGCTCCACGCTCTAAGTCCTAATCTGATGCCCTGCCGGCACTGCTTCCGGCCATCCTTAACCTTGGTTCAGGGTCCTCTCAATGTGGACATGCTAGTTTGAATTAGCAAAATGCTAATTCGAACTAGTTTTTGGGTCTAGATGCACTAGTTCGAATGAGCTTAGTTCGAATTAACTCATTCAAATTAAGTTAGTTCGAATTAGTGCTGTAGTGTAGACATACCCTCAAGAGAGTAAGGATTATTGAATGGAGTAAGGATATCAGAATCTGATCTTTAAAAAAATCCTTATTACAATTCTGTTCTTCTTGGGTAAAATTTTAGAAAGCAACATAGTCACTTGGGAGCTTAAGTCTTGTTGACTTTCAGTGGAATTTAGCTCCTAAATCTTTTGAAATTTTTACCTGTTATCGCGATAACTCTGGAATCATAGCAGTTAGCTATGATTAAAAACCTTTTGAATCTATTTAATTCAGGAGTTCCAAACATTTTTTTTTAGTATAGATCACCTTTAAATATAGATTGTCTCACTACAGACCACCAGCAAGTGTTTCATGGATTATCAGAGGTCTGTAAAACATACCATATACTGCCAGAGTAGGATTGGTTCTTGTACTACATTTTCTGGTGCTTTGTCTAGTCTGTTGTTAGAAATCCCCAAATCCAAGGCAACCACAACTTGCCTTGCAGACTATTGCACAATCTGATCGGTCTCTCTGTTTAGAAACATTTTGCTGTTACTCAGGCTAAATATTGTCTTTAGTCTCTGCTCAATCCTACTGTTCTTATATTCTTATTTGTGCCACTCCAAATAATTCCTCTCTCTCCTTGGAGTCAATAGCTTTCAAATGCAAGATGGTTATCAGGCCTCCATCTGCTCCATCTCTACCCCTGGACAGTTGGTCTTTGTCTACACTGGCGGCTTCTTGCGCAAGAACATCTTGCACACGGGTTCTTGTGCAAGAAGTTTTGCACAAGAAAATGTCCACACTGCCATGTGTGAGCTGTGCTTTTGCGCAAGCGCGCCCATGGCAGAGTGGAAGCTCTCTTGCGCAAGTCAGCTCCGATGGCCATTTTAGCCATAGGGCTTTCTTGTGCAAGAAATCCCTGCCGAGAGTCCACACTGCCCTTTTGCGCAAGAGCTCCTGCGCAAGAGGGCTTACACCTGTTAAAAAAGAGCATAACTCTTGTGCAAGGAGCTCTCTCTTGACACGCCGTACTGTAAATTTTCTTGCGCAAGAGCGGGTGGGCAGTGTAGACGCTCTGCAGATTCTTGCGCAAGAACGGCCATACTTGCGCAATAACCCACTAGTGTAGACATAGCCCCAGTGTTCTGCTCCCATCTGCCTCCTGTGTGTATTGTGTACCAAATCAGCACCAAGCTGTTTCACATTGTGCAGAGAATGGGCACCTCAAGTACAACACTCATGGAGATTACACCCTACTATGCTGATTTGGCTGCAGATGGAGCTGGATTTACCTCTGAGGAAGAGGGTCCTTTTACTCTAAGGCTACGTCTAGACTGGCATGATTTTCTGCAAATGCTTTTAACGGAAAAGTTTTTCTGTTAAGAGCATTTGCGGAAAAGAGCGTCTAGATTGGCATGGACACTTTTGCGCAAAAGCACTTTTTGCGGAAAAGCGTCCATGCCAATCGACACACGATTTTGCGCAAGAAAGTTCTGATCGCCATTTTCGCCATCGAGGCTTTTTTGCGCAAAACAGTTTTTAGCTGTCTACACTGG